GAGGGGGGTGCGCTTGTGTTGGGTGTGTGTGTGTGTTTTTGGAGCGGGGGAGGGGAAGCTTCCTCGGGAAGGGGAAACTTCTCACGGCACGGCCATGCTCTGGCGGCCGGGCGGGCGGTTGGAGGAGGGAGGAGGATATGAGCAAGATGGGGGCTGCCGATGGCCCCGAGGCGGGCCCTGGCGGTGGACTCCTTCTTGTGGGGGAGGTGTCGCGCCCGGGGCCAAGCCTCGCTGAGACAGGGAACGAGACAGAATGCGGGGGCAAGCGGGGGGGAGAGAGGCAGGGGGAGGGAGAGAGGGAGAGACTCCACAGTCATGGGCTCGGGGTTTTCGTCGCACGCCTCTCGGCCACGACTGGCCCAGGGCAGGGCAGCAGCGAGGGGGCCCTCCACCTGCCGGCTGGCGCCGATAGCCATACCCACACACACGCGCGCGCGTGCGCGCGCCAGGATCGACGGGGATGCTCGGCGAGGTGCCGGCCCGACCCTGGCGCCCAGGATTGGGCGCCCGGGCGGCGAGGTGGGACGACAAAAACAACAACAACAACAACAAGCAGGACGGGGAAAAAAAGAACAAAAAAGGGCAGCTTCCGGGCGCACGCCCGCCGATCGCCAACGACGGGCAGGGCGGGCGGGGGGGCCGCGGCTCCGGCCGGAAAACAACAATCGCCCCTGGGGTAGGGGCGATGGGGGCGAGGGAAAACCAACGACGCCCCCCCTCCCTCGCCACCGCCACCGCCACCGCCAGCGCCGCCAAGGGGAGGAGATCGCACGCGAGCCGCCGCCGAGCGACGCCAGGACCTGAAAGTGGGTACCACGCCACGGGCACCGGGTGCCGGTGTTCGTCCGCCGCGGGCCGGCCCTCCTTCTCTCTGTCTCCCGGCCTCCTCCAGCGGCCTCTGTCAACCGGCGTCAACCGGGCCCAGGACGAGCGGTCCCTGGGTCCCTGGGCCCCGCCCCCCCCCCCGTGCTTGGCGTGCGATCGCGCGCCAGCCGTCCCTCCCCGGGGCGTCCAACCCTAACCCACGAGCGCGCCAACGTCTAGGGTTGGAAAACCGCGATCGGCGCACCCTGTGGGCTGACCGCGCCCCCGGGTCTCGTGCCCCGCCCCATCCCAGGATCCGCCATTTTTGCGCGAGCGCGCCGCCGCCCCCCCCCCCCCCCCCCCCCCCCCCCGCATACGCCGGCTTCCCCGGTCGAGCAAGAGAGAGGGAGAGAGAGGGACATCGGCCGGGCACCGACCGCGGCAGGGAGGACACGAAGGGATCTGGGTGTATTGTCATTTGCCCCGGGCCCAACAATCGGCGCATGGGGCAGGCTGCCCTTTCGGTCTGCCGGCCAGGTGGTTTTCTCGCCGCCCACCCCCGGCGCCCCGCGGGATCTAGCGGCATGCGCACGGCCGCCCGCGAGCAGGGGCCTCGCCAGCGCGCACATTGGCCGGCGCCCCGGCTGCACCGCGCCTCCGGTCCCGGCCCCGGTGCTCGGCTCTTCATCACCAGATGCCCAGCAGGCCGCCGATGGTGCCATCCGCCGCGGCGCTGTCCCGCAGGCGCTTCTCCTCCTCGGGCGACAGTTCCAATAGGGTGGCCATGGCCGGCACCAGGGCCGGGCGCAGGGTCCGCTGCTCGATGAAAGTCAGCACCGTGTGCTTGAGGTAGGCGCGGGACTCGGGCGGTGCGGCGACCATGGCGCCGGTGCCGGCGCCAGCGCCACCACCGGCAGCACCAGCCGCCAGCGAAGCCGACGACCCGCCGGCCGACGAGGCCACCGATCCCGGGCCCGCGGTCGATGGCTCGGACCCGGACCCCGGCACCAGCGGCACGTCGTACAGCTGCAGATCCCCGGCGCGGCGGAGCTCCTCGCGCAGGCTCTTATCCAGGGCACGGGCGCGGGCTTCGGCCGAGCGGGCTTGCTCGCGCGCGGCCTCGGCCCCGGCCTCGGCCCCGAGGGCCCGCTGCTCGGCCGCCTCGGCCGTCTCCTCGGCCCACTGGAGGCGCTCCTCCAGCTGGGCGGCCTCCTGACGAGCGGCCTCCTGGGCCCGCTCGGCCTCCATGCCGGCGTCGGCCGCCGCCACCAGGGCCTGCTCGTAGGCCTGGCGCACGGACTGCAAGTCGGCCTCCAGCGCGGCGACCGCCGCCTGGGCGGCCTCCAAATCGGCCCGGAGCTGCGCCTGCCCGGCGGTCAGCTCCCCCCGGACACGCTCCAGCGTTTGCTGGTGCTGCTTTTGCTGGTGCGCCAGGCGCTCCTGCACCGAGGCCCGGAGCTCGTCCACCCTGAGGGAGTGCTCGGTCCGCAGGTTTTCCAGGGCCAGGGCGTGGCGATTGCGCTCGGCCTCCAACTGCCCGGCGGCTTGGGCCTCCCCACGAGCCAGCGACTGCTCGGCCTCGGCCAGGGCCTGAGCCACCAGCGAATCGGCCTCCGACCGAGCGGCCTCCACCTCGCGCCGGGCCTGCTCCCGTGCATCGGCCATCTGCCGGTCAAGGTCCTGCTGCAGCTGCTCCGTCTGCCGCGCATGGGCGTCTTGCTGGGCGGCCAGCGCGGAGCGGTGCTGCTCGGCAGCCGTGGCGGCCGCCTGCTCGGCTGCCTGCTCGGCCTCCGCCAGCTGGCGCTGGAGCTGCTTGGCCGCCTGCCGGGCCTGGGCCAGGCGCTCGCCCAACCCCCGGCGCTCCTCCTCGGCCGCCTGGAGCTGCTTGTCCTGCTCGGCCAGTTGCTTGGTCTGCGCGGCCAGCTGCCTGTCCTGCTCGGCCAGCTGCTTGACCTGCTCGGTCACAGCGGCCTGCTGCTGCTTCAGCTCGCCACGCGCCCGCAGGAGCTCGGCCTCCAGGCTGGACACGGCCAGGCGCAGGGCCGCCGCCTCGTCGCCAGCCGCCCCGGACTCGCGGGCCAGCTGCGCCAGGTGCGCCTCATGCTCGCGAGTGGCCAGGTCCAGCTTGCTCTGGAGCTCGGTCACCTGGACCGCGTGCGCCTGCTCCGCCTCCCGAAGCCGAGCCTGTAGGGCGCCTGCCTCGGCCTCCTGCGCGTGGGCTAGCTCCTGCAGCTGGGCCTGCAGGTCACCGTGCTTGTGCTCGGTCGCTTCCAGCTGGGTTTGCAACTCCCCGCGCGCCTGGAGGGCCGTCCCCAGCTCGGCCTCAAGCCCAGCATGCTTTTGAAGGGCCGCCTCCAGCTCGGCTTCCAGGTCCGCTTGCCGACCGGTGGCCGCGTGAATCTTGCCCTCGAGGATGGCCACCTGGGCGGCGTGCCGGTCGGCCGCGGCCTGGAGCTCGGCCGCCAGGGCGCCGGCCTGCTCCGAGCCACCCGCCGCCATGGCCGCGAGCTGGCCCTCTAGGGAGGCCACTTGGCCGGTGTGCCGGTCGGCCGCGGCCCGGAGCTCGGCCTTCAGGGAGGCCACTTGGCCGGTGTGCTGCTCGGTCAAGGACTGGAGCTCCCTTTGGAGAGCGCCATGCCGCTCGCCGGCCGCCTGGAGCTCCGCCTCAAGAGCCGCCACCCGGGCGGCATGCTGGTCGGCGGCCGCCCGGAGCTCGGCCTCCAGGGCCTCGGCCGAGGCGCCCCGCTCGACCGGGGCCGCGTCGGCCACCAGGCCAAGGGCGCGCGCCGCACGCAGCGACTCCAGCTCGGCGGCCAGGAGGTCCCGCTCGTAGAGGGCCCGGTCCAGGGGACCCAGCGCCGCCAGGTCGCCCTCATCCGGCAGCGGCCGTGACAGGTCGGTCACGAGCTGCATGCTGCCAGAAGGGGCCGGAGAGCTGACGGATCGGGGGCTGGCCTCGGCCACCGGGCGGAGCTCCTGCTCGAGAGAAGTGCGGATCTCCTGCTCGATGGAAGCACGAGCATCGATCTCAATCATGGTGCGCAGGTCCTCCTCGATCGACTGGCGCAGGTC